GGGAGAGGGGCGGGGGGGGGAGGGGTGTGAAAAATGTAACTTGGAGTGTGCGAGGTTGAAAGTTACATTTAATAAGCCCCCCCCCATTGGGGGAGAATGCATTGTGCAGAGTCTTGTGATGTCATTTGCCTGCGATAGTAGCAGGAATGGATCAAGAGAGAGGTCGTATGATGTTGTATGAAGTAAGAGCTAGTCAAAGACAATCAAAGCGAGAAAATCAGTGCAGTCAGAACACAGGGTGAAAAGGCATGTGTACATGTAACATCATGTTACATATGCCAGCTGCGCAAGCACATTCCAGGTGATACTGCATGCTTCCAAGGCCTGGACACACCTAAGTTACAATTGCTTATGGGTCCACAGCACATCACAACAAAACACAACAAGTCCACCAAAGCACTCCAGTTGAAAAGGTATGTTTAAATGTAACATGTGACAGCTGCACATAGCACAGATTAGGTGAAAATGCATGTTTCCAAGACGTCCACATGTCTAAGTTACATTTCTTTCTTGCATTCTGGTCCAACACTGCTGACACTGTGGCACAGCAGGTCTAGAATTAAACGCACTCCTCCCACAACATCAAAACAGAAGAACTCCAACCAAAGCACACCCAGTGATAAAGGCATTTAAATGTAACATATGCCAGGTGCACACAGCACAGTCTGGGTGATAATGCAAGTTTCCCAGGCCTGCGCACACCAAAGTTACATTTCTTTCTGGCATTCTGCAGAGGAACCAGCTGATGAGAAGAGTTTTGCGTAGTCGAAGAGCGCAGTCGAAGAAGAAAAGAGCCCATACTCTTCAAGCAGCCTCACTGAGTCTTGCGTAGTGTTACCTTGAACCATCCTAGACCTGAAAAAATGTAACTTACATTTTTTACATATTTAGTTACATTTTCCCTGGAATAATGTAACTTGCATAAGTTACATTTTTCATTAAAAGCCTAACAAATGTAAGTTACATTTTTCCAGGTATATGTAAAGGGCTAAATGTAAGTTACATTTTTTCAGGTCCCCCCCCTGCTAAGGGGTAGGGATCATACAAGTATATTGGGCACATGTAATGGCAATGTATAGTAAAGAACATGTAGTGCTGAGACTTTCTTTGGAGAGGGCTGCGGTTCTGAGCATTTGCAACAAGCAATCCCCGCAATGAACCTAATCCAAAGATAAAGTATATAGAGATATGAAAATCTAAGGAAAAGCATACCTATGATACCTGTGGTGGACTCATGTACAGCACTCTTACAGGTAAACACGTCACACCACTCCGCCGATCATTCCACTCCCCAGCGGCACGCCGCGTTTCGGCCACTATGTGTCCCATTCCCGAATGGCACAGACTCACGCAAATGCTTTACACCAAAGCCGCGCCAAACCGCATGGCACAGCGACATGACAGACGTAATTTGGCCACACGGTGTGCCACAGACTGGATACAACCATGTCCAGGACGCCCGCTCCGAAAGTAGAAGTAGGAGTAGTCAGTAGTCACTCTCCGACTCTGTGCGTTTGAGAGTACTCTTTTCCTTGACCGGTCCTTCAAATCTGGTCCCCTGACTTCTTGCTCTCCTCATCATGACTTGTGCTTCAACATGCGTTGGTAAGAAGAAGGCGGAGCCTCTGGTTGGACTGTTTTCGATGCGCCTCCTTCCAGGAAGCCTTTGTTGTGCACAGGCCTGTCAGAGTTCTTGTCGGGCCACTTCTTTCCTTAATTGAAGATGGCTTTCGGGGACCCGCGGACCGGAAAATAGTCTCCGGTGTCCTTTCCGTATGCAAAATATATTAATCATTGGGCACCTGTCCTCTATCAAAGGCGCCAAGGTAGTAATACCCCTCTAGTAGTCATGGAGCCGTGGCCTCCCCGTAGCGTTCGTCAACAATCGTTCCTCTACTGAAAACAATCTTCGGTGTCGTCCTTCCTTTACCAAAAAATCTTTGGAGGCACCTCTCCTTTATTCAAAGAAGCTGTCTGTCGAATGATGTCGAATGTTTTGATTACCTTTACTAAAACAGCTTTCGAGGGGTGCTTCTTCGACTAAAATTCAATCTTTGGGGGTCCTTCCCTTACTAAACATAACCTTTGGGTGCCGTTCCTTTACTAAAAATGGTCTCAAACGAACCAGGAGCCATACCTCGAGCGAGTGCAGGTTCACGACTGTGACGGACCTGTCCTTGACCGCTGCCAAGAGAGGGCGGAGGAAGCCCGGGCTGGCAGGCTGGCCGCCACTGCACCACCCCGGTAGGGTGGAGCAGGTCCTCCTCGTACATGACGAGGATCTGGGAGCATGTCCCTCCAAGGCAAAGCTCCAGAAGCCAGCAACCGTTGTACAACATCCAACTGATCCCTCACATGCACACCTGAGTTGAAGCAACTCAAAACTCAAGTTCGGCTTGTTCTGACCTCGCTTTTGATTCATGACGTGGTTTCAATGAATGTTTTCTCTAACAATAGGATGTGGTTGTATGACTGCTGATTTTCCGGTGTCCTACAAATTGCAACAGCCTACATATTTCAACTCTCATCTGACAACAGCGTGACTTTTGGCGAGTCAGCGTGCTGGCCACAGACTTCAACAATGGTAGGCCAGTGCGTTGGCTACCAGGCTTCAACAATGGTAGCCAGGCAACATACATGGAAACCAAGTATCCGGGCTCCAATCCAGAACAAAACGCGTGGAAACCCAGCGTGCTGGCCACCAAGCAACACACATGGTACACCAGCTCGCTGGCAAATAGCAGCAGCATACATGGCAAGCCAGTGTCCTGCCTACCAAGCTGCAAGAACACAAACGGCAAGCCAGCGTGCTGGCTACCATTGCAGCTGTGCTTACTACTTGTGGCAAAGCCAGTCAGTCCTGGCTGCAAAGATGGAACGCGACACTGGTCAGCCAGCGCGCTGGCTTCCAGTCAGCACGGCATGCCAGAGTGCTGGGCGCCAACTATGGTAAACAAGCTTGCTTGCTACCACAACATACATTCATAGCAGGATGCTGGCCACCAGCTCCAGGCCTCTCTGAAACAGTCTGAAAATGTCTGAGGCAAAGTAACAAAATTTTGCTTGGCTTCAAGAAATACAACTGTTCACCTGGCATTGAACATCCACGGTTGTATGTCCTGTCGTCATCAGTCACACACGCCGTTCTTCCCCTGGTGAGGCCATGGTTACTATCATGCATTGTCGTTTTGTATTCTGGAGACAAAAGTCAAACCTGCATGCTGCCAGATTCACAATGATTGAACATGTCCTATTGCTTCGTTGTGATGTGATTGTCATATCAGTCTGTGCCAAGCGCCCCGCAAAGATGATGCTTAATGAGAAAGGACACCCAGTAAAGGAAGGATACCCGAAGACCATTATAGTAGAAGGAAGATGCCCCCTGGCCGCCTGCTCACGCCACACGCCAACCTAGGTACAAAAAGGTAAGGAGGACGCAAGTGCAGCAATCCCACCATCTGCATGGGCGCTTGTACTCCGACATCTCCAGCGACGCAAACTGCGATCCCCAAGGAGAGGTCCCCAACGATAGATCCAGGCGCGAAGCCGGCGAAGCCGTCAGAGTAAAGACAAAAGTGAGAAGCGAGTATGTTTCAACATTGCTTGTCCAACACGGTGCACCACACACACACACAAAATCTGCGCGAAACACTTTGCAAAGAGATCCCTGAAACCATGATGCCTGATACCAAGGGAAGTTCTGGGTCTTGCGAGATCTTGGGCAGTCATCTCATAAACCTACAGGTGAGGGGCAAAGACACCATTTGCTCATCAAACCACTGGGCGACAGCCATGGAAACCAAATGGCAAGGCCAGCATGCTGGCTGCACGATTTCCGTCGGTGGCTCATCCGCCCCAACGAAAATTCCCATTTCACTCCATTTGAGCATCCAACACGCACGATCTCCGCAGAGGGTCACGTTCCGACACCCTGTCAGGGCGCTGGCTAACAAAGAGTAGATATAGAATGATTTAGAGACCTAAAATGCCGAGATACGTCACGCACGCGTATGTTAGCATATATTTTATATACACCGCTTCGCGGCCGAAGCCGCCTGCACAGATCGCAACCTGTGCTCTCGGAGCCGGGGAAAGAAATGCGGCGCGCAGCTCCGCATATGCGATTGTTCCCCCCCAAACCCACATGCTCAATACCATTCACCTCATCCAGTCGGACTGGGCACACGACCGAACACATCCACGATATCAATCGTACAGTGTCCCGCGGTTTGCCTAAACGTTTGCAATTTCTGCGATGTCTATAACGCAGTCTCCCCCGGCCGGCATAACCGGCATCGCATATCCATAGTGCAGCGCCCTTGGCTTGCCGAGACGTCTGCGATGTCAATAATGCGATCTGTACCGACCGGCATGACCGGCATCGCCAACGTCTGGTCCAATTTTGGTCAATTTTCAAAAAACATTGAAAAGCACAGCATTTCTAGGAGAAAAATGCGCCCCCCCCCCAAGCTAAAGCTTAGGATTTATCTAGCCGGATTCCTTGCGATTTACACGAGCCTACACAACGCCCTCGGCACCTCCGGCGCGGGCGGATTTTACACATGTGTTCCCTGATACAAGAACCCAGCTAAAGTTACAATAAATATTTTGCAGGTGTGAGACCCCAGTACCAAAACAATGCTACTGCGCTACCCAAACTTTGTATGACCACCTCCGTAGCAACTCTAACAAACCACACTTGCAAGCTACGGCCGTACTCATGGCACACCTACAAATTGCAAACATATAAGTAGCCTCAAATGTAGCAGCTCAAATCCCTGTCGCGCACCTACAAATTACAGATATATAAATCTCAAATGTAGTAGCGCAGATCTTGTGGCATACCTACAGATAAGTCTCAAATATTCTCAACCGTAATAACGCAGATCTGTACCGCAAGCCCTTTCTACAAAAGCATCCTTCGCAACCCTCCCGGGAAAAAAGGTTTCTCCCTGTCGCTGGATGCATGACTCAACGTTCCAATTTCCGATGTTTTTACCATGTCTTACCTTTTCACCGCTCTTTCGCAGCCAGGTGACCTGTGTCCCTTGGGTTTTTACAACATCTCCGACCTGGAAACCTGCCGTTTGGGCGCAAGAACCCTGCGGAAGCGCTTCGCGCCTCGGTACGAACGGATCGATATCCCCGTGTTCTTTGGAGATCGGGAGATCGGCCAGCGGGGAGTGAAGGATGTGGAGAAGATGGACCATTCATTTTTGGCATGTTTTTTAAGCTGGTTCAATTCCGGAACAACATGCGTGTTTGATCGTTTTGAGCCATTTCTCCGTTCCTTCACCAGGAAGACCAGAGGATATATTCCTTATGTCGAACCAACGCTTAAGGTGTGGTCCACGCCAACGGTGCCCTCCCCCAGTTTGGGCTCTGCAGCCAAGCCCCGAAACAGCAATTAAGCCCGCGCCAACGCGTCGGATGATGGGTTAGACAATCCATTTGATATAGCTTGGGTGAAGGGGCGTTGACACCTGTGGTGATCATGGTCCGCTTCCCATTCCAAGCCCACACCAAGCTAGATGCATCGCCCAGTCCGAGCCCGCACCCTCTACTTCCAGATGATCTTGTTGTTTCTGCACAGTGATGGCATTCAGACACTTGCGCACGCAGGTGTTGTTTCAAGTCTTAGACAGCTTTTGGGCGTGCTTAGTGTTTCGTCTCATGACCGGACAACTTGAGCGGCGTTCATATCCCACGCAGCTGCCCTCTTGTCTCACAACAGAGACCTCCCTCAACAAGAACATGTGGATACAACACCAGTGGTTCCCTTCGTGCGTTCCCACTCTCAGACAGACCTCACGTGGATTCCTGTGGAGGCAGGTGCAGTTGATGCTGGACATGAGCCTTCTGGCTGCTTACACCGACTCGCTGACAATGACGTCCTCTTCAACCGGGCCTTCTCGCGCAAGCGCAACCGGCAGCGACAGCTGATTTGTGCCGACCGAATTCCAAAGTTGGTGGAGGCGAGGGTTGATGCGTCATGGACATATCACACTCCCCTGATTGGTCATTGTATACAAATGTATGCTTAAAAACTGGACCTGAGAATTGTGAGTGGTTCTTCCTCTACCTACTGCAAGCCATTGATCTTGAAAAACGACTTCGACTTTTAGCAGCTGGCCGCCGAGGTCGGGTCGCAGCCCGCTGTGGAGGTCGAGTCGCAGCCCGCTTCATCGGTCGCAGCCCCTGTCCCTTCGTCCATTGGCAATTTGAGCATCACCGGTCGAGTCTGCCCTGAAGGAAGCTTTGCGATCCAGACGCCTCACCGATGTGAGACGGCTGCCAAGGTGCTGTCCAAGAAGTACATTGGCATTATGATGCCCGCCCTGATGTTGGAAGAGTTTGTCTCAAACGGAACCAACTCACCCAAAAAAGAAGAACATCTTCATGAATTCCTTCCCCCATTCAGGCATGACGATATTCTTTGGAGATGGTGATCATTGATGATCTGTCAGAAAAAACATCCATAAGAAGGCCCAGGTCTATTTACATCTTTCAAGGGTGTTTTAATCAGCCTACTTCAATCAGCAACCCCGTCTTCATGACCCCCTGGTTCAGCCTCTTCGTACTCACGCCGGACGTCCGGAGCACGGACCAAACGCTTTTCGCGCTTGCTGTAGGAAGTCTTTGGGTGAGCCTCATGGCTGCCTCCACCGTGTGGGTGACCAAGACGTGATGTTCAATCGCTTGAGAACTCCTCAGCAGAGTGATCAACGGCAGTTGGTTTGTAGCACCGAGCCATGGATTTGCAGCGAAGAACCGGGTTTCCTTTCTCGTTGGGGGACAGGAATCCACCTGGTAATTGTGAAGGGCTTGACTCGTAGTTCAGTGAAGGGTTTTTCAAAACGGTAATCATCCGCTGTCACAAAGCAGGAAGGGTTCAACATGTGATGTTTCTCTATGGTTCTGCATATACGCCTAGTGACCTAGTACGAGGGGTAGCGATACATCATTGATTTTGCACTCCACCACCACTTCAAACAATGTATATATATATATATATATTGATGGATGTTTCCTTTTGACATGGGAGTGATTGAGGTAGGCTGAATGGTATGATTTTGGAGGGGTGATTATGTAACTGCTACTGCTAAACATGATCAGGATGTAGAGCAAGTCTTGGCGGCATGACCAGTCATCCAGGGTGCCCGACGTCCACCCTGAAATGGGAGGATGTGATAGGATGTGACCATCATCCTGGTTTTATTAAGTCATTATATATAAGTGGTTTATGTTGTTTTCCCTACCATACAAATCCCCAAACCAGGTGATTTTCCAGCTTCCTGGGAGCCGCATGTTTCCAGTTTGTCATCCGCTAGGAGAAGGATCCGGAGATGATCCGAGCGAAGAAGCTCTCACGAAGTGATGCTTTGCAATTGAAGCTCTACTGCTTCGCCTGGACTGTGAGATCTGAGCGCGAAGAGCTACTCTTGCCCTATGCCAGGTGGGGCAGCCCAGTGGTGCCAGTGCAGAAGTTCTGCCCTAACAGGCCCTGACAGTTCAGGGTGCGTTGTGTGCAATTCGGCAAGTGGATTCCCATTTGCATCACTTGAAAGGACAAAAATGTTCGGTAAGGATTGCTTCACAGCTGGAGGAACCACGATGGAGGAACCCCGGAAGAGGTGGAGTAGCCTTTGACGCAAAAAGACGCACCATCAGCTGCTTTGTGAAGAGTTCTAAGAGATCAGATCAAAGAGAAGGGGGCGAGTTTCAGCTACCAGACCCCAACGCACCGGAAGCGAAGTGAGGGTTTCCATCTGGAAGTTCCCACCATGCTATGTTTGATAGGTCTTGTCATAGGTCCAGTCACGGAAGACTCTGACCCAAACCGCTACCAAGGGCCTCATTGGTCGGATCTCGACCCCGAATGTCCTTGCCACAGAGTTCATTAGCCACATCAGCTGTTTGACCAGAAATTCCAAGCCACAGAGAGAGTTAAAAAGAGGTTAGTCATGTGCCCATGTGATGTTTGGTTGTCCCTTTTTTTTGAGCTCACAAGGAAGGTGGCATGGGAGTGATTTGTTTGCGGAGTCTTTTGCCGATGTTGGAAGAGCAGAGTGCCAGCGGCATGAACCAATCATAAGGTCATCTTTCAGTAATCCCAATCTACTGGTAGATCCGAATAGCAGCTGTCCCCCCAAAAAACCTGGTTCATTCCAGACCATGTCATCGAAGTTCACCACCCAAGACCCACCTCTGCCGAGGTCTCTCTTCCAAGGCTGCGACGGTCACGGTTTCTTCACCGACCGCGAGGCCTCTGTGACGCCCGAGGAGCGCGACGACTTCGTGCAGGTGGACTTGCCTCCCACGCAGCAGAATCGTTCGGAGAAGCGGCGCGGCAGCACCAGCGGGCCGGAATCGTCCGAATCGTGGGGTGATGTGGGAACGGCTGGGTGTGGGAACAGCAGGGGGGTGAGGTTGGGGGATGTTCTCCGGGGTCATTCTCCGGGGTTGTTATGTGTTTTTTGTTGATGTTGGGGGAGAGTGTTGGAGAAACTGGATTTGGCTGATGCTTTTTCCAGAAGCCTGTCCCAGCGATTCGCGCGCAACAAAGGTCCGTAGCGTACTTCATCCAGAAGGATTCGTGCTTGAATGTGTTTGATATTGTTTGATGGTTGGTTGTTATCAATAATCTGCAGTTCCGAAAAAAGTCCGGTACTGATCGTCCTCAGGTTCTTTCCGTTGAAGCTCCATTTCTTCTTCCAAAAAGCATAGTTTGGTTTTCCATGTTCATGAGGTTCTGGCTCTTGTTGAAGAATATGGTGGGTCTACTTCCTGCGTGGAAGTACTTGTTGGACATGAACGTCACCAGTGGCATGGACTGGGTTGTGAACCTGGAGTTGGATCACTTCTTCGTCGCCAATTTGTTGCGGCAGACCATTGGAGTGCCTTGAAGTCATCTGTTTTTCTCGTCTCGTACCCAAAAGGAAGCTGAACGATGCTTGGGGGTTTTCAGCCAAGTTTGAAGCCATCTGATAGGAGCTTCCATGTTTTGCGTTTAGTCGAAAAGAGTCAGAGTAATGAAAGGATTTTGAATATATGGTGGATCCTACCTACGATGGATCCAGTGGGAAGGTACCCTAAAAGTGAGTATATGATAGACATGCCGGCGATGCTTAGGGGAGCTGGTCCGGGTCTTTGGCTGAGTTGGGAACTTTTGCTTTGTCCACTCTTGCCCTTTTTCAGGTTCCACAATTCTTCTCGCACCACTCTCACTCTCTACTGAAAATGGATGACCATGGACAAAGGGATGATTTAAGGATGGTTAGCTTCTTTCAGGGCCAATTTAGGGGTCACTTTTGGTTTTTCCATACGTTTCGGCTCATCGGCCACTTCCACACCAGTCCAGCAGAACTCGCAGTCGATGTGCTCGGTCGCCCGGCACGGGCACGGGCGCTGCAGCTTCCACGGGACTGGTGTCTTGGGCAATGACGCGTCCCACCGCAGAACCTCTCAGTGCTTGACTGGCTTTGTTGCCAGTTGCCACCGCAGAAGCACTCAGTGCTTGGCTGGTTTTGTTGCCAGTTCCCATGGCGGAAGCACTCAGTGGTTGACTGGTCTTGTTGCCAGTTCCCACCGATTGGTTCGCTGCTCATCTTAAGGACTACATCAACCTCATGATTCAAGATGGACTACCTCATCAAAACCCATGGGAGGACCCAGTGATGCTCATTTTCGGCAACGTTTTTGCCTTCAATGCTGCACTCGTGGCCAGCATGAAGCGTGAATGGCAGACGGTTGGTCAAGTGCCTCGGAGATCAGATGCGGTGTTGATGAAAGAAGCCTGATCGAGATTATGAAGAGACCCTATTTATGCAGTAGATGTTATAGAGTTCTCATGGGTCTGCTGAGTCTGCTGAGGTTTGTAGTTATTGTAGACTTTATATAGAAGAATGGGCGTTTTACAAATCCTGTGCTTTCGTCGCCATCCCTAGCAGTTAGTCTAGCTATTCCGGATCTTCTATCGTTCTATGTGGGGCCCGAGTTTTCGGAGCTCGATGCCTTGTGGTGTCAACAGCAAGCACTCCATATAATTCCCAGCCTTCAAAGACCATGTTCAAAATGGGAACGACCTGGTTTTGTAGTGCAAAATCCTTAGTAAAACAGTGGTTGTTCGGGATTCAGACCTAACAATGTTGGTTTGAATCCGCTAGGAATGTTCTGCGCGAGAAGCTTGGTTGACCAGACCTCTGGCGGAGGTGATGGGGCAGGTGAGGTTCCCCGATGAACATGTGCTGTGTTGCCAAGGTGATTTGCGCCACTTCCTTCTCTGGAAAGAACAGTGTATCCAAGAATGAACGCCCAATAACATCAGAGTTTACCAAGACACAATCTATAACAAAGACCAATGGAAAGTGCCGCAAAAGATCCGAATCATGCATTCTCTTCCTTCCGGCTTCGGCGCCCGTGACTTTCTCAAGCGAAAGCCGCCCCGCGGGGCGAGGGAGAAGCGCAAGCCGCGCCCGCTGAGGTCATCTCTGACCGTGGCTCCTTAGGCCTTGGCTGCCCGGTGATCTCGGGGGCGCGTGCACATGCTGAAGGGCACTGCGAGCAGGACATGGTCTACGCCGCTGGGCGGAGGGTGGAGGGAGGTGAGGATAGCAGGAGGTAGCGGGGTGCTGGAGAGTGCGGAGGAGGCGTGACCTCTTTGGAGAAGGCATGCTGGATAGTAGTGGATGGTCGGGAGTTTTCCCACAGCTCTAAGCATCAACAGCAGGAGCAAGATGGGGGAAGTCCATGTGATTGGATGATTGCATGGATATTCATGTTCAACAAGACGCATGGCCCCCAACTGATTTAAATCTACCTCACAGGTCGAGCCACTATAAGCCACTCATCTTTCAATGACAACCCCAAAATCCATGACGCTTTGAAAAAGGCCCCAAGTGTGGCCACCACTCACCCGAACATCCCGCCGTCCGCCACCGCCGTGCGGCGGTCCCGAACGTCGTTCCTCGCCTTCACCGGGTGTCCTTTCGAACTCACCAGTCCTGGTCCCGCCTCGGTCGGCTCCAGCCCTCCGCGGTGCGGACACGGAACAGAGCCGCGGTCCCACCGGGGCCCGGCGTGCGGACGACCTGGGTGCCGGAAACACGGTCGTGGTTCACGGGGTGGTTCTTTAGCCAGACCACCACCCCATGGGACCGCCGAGTTGGACGGAAACGGCCGAGAAACGGCCGAAGTTGACGGGGGGTTGAGGGGGCGGCATGGAGCGGAGACGTGATGAGGAACACCTGCAAGACGTGATGCCCTTGGCCATCGTGGGAGCCAACGGCTGTGGGAATCTCGCCGTCTCCGTGCCTCGGTGGACGGCCCAGGTGGACGGTACGGCCGAAGTGGCGCGGAGAAGCGGTCTGGGAATGTCCAAGCTGGTCCTGAAGAAGGGGGTAGGGATTGTGTTAGATTGTTTTGGTCATACATGTCCAATTCTCAGTGTCGGTCATACTTGCCAAAAGTTATGTTGTGTTGTTTTGGTCATTGAATGCAGAACGCATCAATGGAATCTCCCGCGAGCCAGGAAACGAAGAAAGAGGGACTGCTCAAAACTGTTTCGTTCTTTTCTGCTTGTTTTCTTCCCTTATCTTCCCTATTAGGTTGGAGGGAGGCCATTGCCATCGCTATTAGGTTGGAGGCCATCGCTATGATTGTTCCCTGTCCAGGACAGCTTGATTCCTTTTCCCTTGGGCTGCTGGCAAGACTTCCCCTACGGCGACGACGAGGCGGCACGTCTGCGGGCCTTGAACAAGTTGGTGCAGATCTGGAAGTTCAGCGACCAGGAGGCGGAATCCTACTGTACCTCGGCCTGGAAGTGGGTGAAGAGCAGAGCGCTTTCAGCGCCATGCTGCGCAGGAGCGAGTTCCGATTCTTCGGAGGGTTTAGGGGGGGGCGATCGACTGAAAGCAGTGATGAAAGTGAATGCTTGGCTCATTTTTGATATGTTGGCTGGTTTCGAAGGGAGTTGCGGGGGCGGTTCATGTCCATCTCCAAAGACGATGGATACGATGGTCAGATAGGACTTGCAAGTTTGTGAAAAGGGGTGCATCGACAGTCACAGTCGATGTCACGACGGTACTTCGTCTTTAGGTATTTCGAAGAAAGAAGCATCCGAGTCTGCTAGGCCGCTAGGCGCCAAAAAGAAGGATCAAAACCAGAGATCTCGCGTTTCGGGGGGGTTGAAACTTCTTCCGATTTGATTTGACACTGCTGGCCAATGGGCATTGGATATGAAACAGGACACCTTAGATAGAGGAAACAAGTCAGAGGTTGCTTGAAGGGATGTGTTGTCAAAACCAAAGCCTTCAACCTCCGTTGACCACGATTTTGATGGCAACTGACAGTCGACCGCGCGTTGCAGCTTCAATCAGCTACCCAGCTACCAGTGTCCATCACCTGCCACCTTTGAAGGGCTTTCGGGCTGCTTGCCGGAACAGGGTGAAGCAGCGTCACCGGTGGTCTCGTCCGTTGGAACTGGGGCGCCAACCCCTCCGGTGATGCTTCGGTCTGGACCGATGGAGTTCGGTGGACGACTGGGACCGACTCTTGGGACCGAGTCGGACCGCGACCCCGGACCGCGTGGAGCGCAGGTCCGGTCGGGTGCCAGGAGATGTCTTGGAATGGAATAGAATCCCTGTGCACTTGGTGACTAGAATGGAAATCATACGTCATACACCCCCTAAAAAAGGCTCCTGGCCTACCGCAAGAGAAGATGGTTATGGTGGCTGCCAGGTCTAACCACCTTCTGGTTGGAGTGTTTTCGGGATTTCTCCATCCTGAGCGGCTTTGAAATCTAGTTGCTGCGATGGGCAGAGGTTCGCTCATAGGAGCTGGCACCATGGGCATTCCATTAACATCCCAGCCTATGCGACCTCGAGCCTTCAATCGAAGCAGCGTCGTCTGCCCCATCCACCCCTCCCACCCTTGGCTGGGAGGCTCCGAACACGGCGAGGGCGAGGAAGCAAGCTGTCCCAAGCTGGTGAGGTCGAGGTTTGTGCCGATCATCCACAACGTGATTCTCGGATCGAAGGTGCCCCATCCACCCGGCCGCTGATTGACTGACTGTGGAGCACCAAAGATCATCAAAAAGCCGCCAAGTTCTTGGGGTGTGGAACTGAAAAGGCGGGTTTTCAATAAAAGGTATACTTAATAACCATGTATGGAGGAGAAGAAGCATATGAAAGCGGGTATGAGACAGATCCGTTCGGATGGCCGATCTGGAGCCTGAAGCGAAAGCCGATCCTTGGATCGTTTTCGACCAACTGGTGGTCCAGCTCCCTCATCCGTTGCACCACAAAGCGAAGCGAACCACTCATCCGTTGCAACGGTGTTTTTGATTACTGTAGGTGTCAAAATCCGCATGTTCACGTACAACGCATGGTTTCCTTCATGTTTGTAGGGTGGTGTTCTTTATTGGGTTTGTTGTTTCTTGATATGCGAAGAGTGTTTATTCTTATGTGGATAGACGGGCAGTTGTGGTTTTGTGGGCAAGGGTTTCGTTTTTGCGGCGGGTGCTTCTTGAATGCTCGTGTTTGTTCACGGTTCTTGTTGTATGCTTTCTCGGTTTCTCTATGCTTCTCTCAAGACTCTCATAGTTTCATACCAAGGGTTCTTTGATGTTCGTTTTGTATGGAGGATTTCTCCCCGCTGGTAGTTTCTGGGATCCGCACGACCGCAGACCGGGACAGACCCCGCAGCCGAGGAAGACCCCGCAGCTGCACGCAGCGGCGCAGCAGCTGCTCCCACTCGCGGAGTGGCATGTGAGTCGAGTCGAAGAGACAAAAGACACGCAGAACACATGGCGCACCGTCCGGTTGGCAGGGTCACCTGCCGGTGGGCCAAGCCCGTAGGGAGGTGCAAAAAGATGCAAGATGTCAGACTGTTTTGGGGCCTCAAAATGGATGGAAAGAGGAATTAGTTGTAGCTGTAGAGAATATGTTTCTGCACAGGATAGGTGTCCCTGCAATTTGCGGTGAGTTGGGGATGGACGTGGAAACTCACTAGAAAGGTGTTGGGAGCAACAACTGGTTTTGACCATCACATGCATGGGGCTATGAGGCTTGGCAGAAGCTATTTAGTCGATACAGCAGTGGCGCCAAATTTGCGAGCCGCCAGGTCTTGTCGTTGTTGGAATCCCTTTACGGCATGTGTTGGGGTATGTTCGTTCGCCGTGTTTGCTAACCAGGCTATTTGTTTTAGGTGGCGGGTGGGGGGTTGTCACAAATGTGGCTGTGGTGTTTGATTTTCTCCATCAACTACAGACCATACATGACCATACCAACCTCAGCAGGAGGTTGGAGGCCATCGCTATTAATTAGGTTGGAGGCCATCGCTACAAGCTACTGTACTTAAGCTACTAGGTTCGAGCCGTTGCTAGTAGGTTGTCGTTAATTTATTTTAATTTATTTTATAATCATTCACACGAATCGATAACAGGCCACAACTGGTGAACGCCCGACAGTCGGAACGTGCAAGACAACCAACCAAAGGGCTGACCGCTCCTGCAGGGAGCCCTTGTTCTGAAGCCAATGTGTCTCTTATATTCGCTCTTGGAGCCGAATGAGAATTTACACTATATACAGGTCATTGGCTTCAGTGCGTGTGTTCTTTTCCGCTCGTCCCCCCGCCCCCACCCCCTGCCGAGCCGTGACGAACCCGCCGATCCTCTTCACCACAGCAGGTTCCACCGCGGCCGAAATGGCCCGCTGTGACTGTGAAGAGGCGCGCTGGGGACGACGACGTTCGCTGGGGACGTGTTTGACGTGAGGCCCGGGGGGGGTTTTGGGGGACCGGACACGTTTTGGGAAGGAAAGGATTGAAATGGGCGAGGCTGGAGTGTTCTGGTCGAGCGCGAGGCCAGTCTGAGCATCCCGAAGAGGGGTCCCTCCGACTCCTGGTGACAGGGAAGGTCATTGATTCATTGAAAGCCAATGGATTGGGAGATGCAAGGCTTACTTTTTGCGAATCTTTTTCAAACCTTCTTCATCCGTGTGGTGCTCGAAAGGCCTGGGATGGTTCTACAAAGCAGTTTTGAACCTTGAGGGCTTCTGACGCCAACGGGTGCCTTTGGTGCTGATGTTGCGCGAAGTTCGAGCGCCAAAGGCCGAAAGACCTTGTGAAGCAACAGATCAAACCTATCACAATGTCTCCAGTGAAAAGGATCTGTACCATCTCCTGACGTCCTGGAATTACCATGTTGAGCCCAACAACCAGTTGAGGCCAAAGCATCCAAAAAACCTGTTGAATCTTGAGATCACTGGGCCGAACCAGCGTGCCGCTGGCGTGTCGCGAGCGCTCGCGCGCGACCCACCGCGAGCGGAGGCCTTGAGACCCGTGGAGGTCAGTGCACTCCTCAGATCGATGGGTCTGAGGTTTGGATGTTGGGGCAAACCGGATGGATGGATCGTTTTAGAAGTCAAACTGATTTTTTTTTGGCCCTGAAATCATTTGGGTGTTCGGTGTTCCCTTTTTGGAGTATTTTGGTGCCTTTCAACTTTAAGAGCTCACGTTTTTGATGACCTCCAGAGGGTCATGGGAAATGTGTTCTGTCACTGAGGTTCCTGGAAGCAGGAGCTGAAGCACAATGCCCGGAACCTCAGGTCTGACTGTCGCTGGACT